CTTGATTCAAGTGGGAAAATCAGAGAATTTATTCTAGAGTGAGAATGAGACTCCATTTTAGAGAGAGAAAGTGTAGATTCAAAGTAGAAGTTGAGGATTTTGCTAGAGTAGCTCAGTTTGGCAAGGATCTTGTGTAATTGAAGGCTTTTGGTGAGCATCTAATCCATAATTCATGAAGAATTTGTGTCATAAATATGCATTCATGGAGTTGTTATCATCATTTGCATATATTTCTAATGAGTTTATCAAGAAAATGAAGAATTGGCTCATAATTCTTACATGCATGGAAGTAAGAGTGTTACATCATCATTTTGAATATAAGCCTTGTTATCATGTTGAGTTGAGACCATGAAATTAACATGCATGCATACTAGATCAAGCTTTGAAAGCAAATTCCATGTTTGATGAGTTTTGTAAAGAAGTTTTCATGCATGTTGGGTTTTGCCATATCAAGTTTAATTTTGATCCTTCATGTAGAAATTATAGATAATTGGCTCATGCATGTCTGAATCATCACTTAATACCTTTTAAATCATGTTTTGAGAAAGAGTTTTGTATACATGTTGAAGTCCTGAAGCTCAATTTTACTATGAATATGGACTTTGAGGGAAAGAGTTTTTGAAACATACATGCATGGGAGTTTTGAACTCAATTTAGCTAAATCCATGAGTTTTGAGCTAAGGCTTTGTAAATGATCATATATTTGTGATTTAGAAAAGTTTTCCAAGTGTTTTGAACAAGCCATCCACAAATTTGCCATTGAATTTGCATTTGGAAACTCAAAGCCCTATTTTGGAAACCCAGAATTTTTGAAGGTCGCTCGAGCGGGGGATTTGCCGCTCGAGCAGACATTTTGTTCATCCAGTAGTTTTGCAGGCTATTACAGCCTGCTCGAGCGACCACTTGGACGCTTGAGCGAACCCTTTGCATATTATTGATCCGCTTGAGCGTGGAGGTTGTAGCTGAAGCGTATATTGAGACCAACCAGTATTTTCTCCAAGTTTGCAGACCGCTCGAGCGAAGGAAGTCTCGCTCGGGCGACCCCTCTCATGTTTGCATGTTTGCTCGAGTGAGAAAAGCTACGCTCGAGCGGGGACCTTATTTTCAGAAAATTTACCAAGTGTTTCCATTCATGTTTTGGCATCCTCATTGCATCTTAGGCATTCCTAAGCCTTAATTAAGCTATAGTGATGAGGTTTTGGAATAGAAACACACTAAGAAAAGAATGTACTAAGTTAAGAGATTACAAAAGTGTGTTTGGAACAATGTGTTAAGCAAGAAACCTATGTAATGAGAAAGCTAAGCTGTATTGGCCATGTGAATGTGTAATGATACGATATGTTTGCATTATGTACCTTGTGGTTGTAGGTCAAGCCTCGAGGATTGATTGGCCGTTTACGGGAACCACTGTGAGTAACATTTTTGTAAAGATATGTTAATATGAATTATGTTCCAAACGAGATATGATGAGTTATGATTTTTGAAATGATCATGTACGTAAACGAATGTCCTATGTTTGAAATTTATTATGGCATCCATAGATAGTCCCAAGTCATGGGGGACGGCATGTTAATGCGGGTCCACGACATATATGTGATTACGAGATCTCGTTAGCCACTTCATTGTGGTGATATGTGTTTAATCGGTGTCCGGAACCTATTACTCTAGTCGGAAGACGATATGTGATGTGTTCTATAGCATGTACCATTATTGTGTTCCGATACGAGAATGATAATGCTATGATCTGTTTTACGCTTATGACATGTTCGGATTTCGTTCACTGACCTCTTTACATTGATGTTATTCACTGGGCTTTAACTCACTGTGTGTATATATATGTATAGGTGAGCATTCTGGAGATTGAGCCTGAAGGCTTTTGTCTGGATCTGCGTTCTGTTGTCAGCCAACCATTGTGCCTCACGTGGAGGTTTCTGAAGTGTCACGTGTTTTAAGTTTTGTTGCTTCTGTATATGAGAGTTGTTTGTTTTTGTTGGCTGTACTTAAGACGCTATTATGTGTGTGGGTATAATGTATGAATGACTATTGAGTTTTAATTAGTCAGCACAGCTCATTAGAAAATCATATTTGTGTATTTGCTTCCGCTAGCTCCTTAATTTTGTTAATCAGTTTAGAGGCCTTTGGTAATTCAATGATTACTGGCCGGTTACGATGCTAAACTCATAGGGGCGGGTTTGGGTCGTGACAATCCCAAAGGGTCAGGGGTAGTCCCAGAGGACGTCCTGCCGTAGAAGGGTCAGGGGTAGTTCAAGAGAATGCCCTACCGCAAATATTGGTGAGTCTCAGGGACCCCCTAGATCGTATCACCTCGACCCGGGTATAGGCTAGTTTAACCGAAGAGTGAATTTATCTCCACTCACCGTCCTTGGAATCGGGTCCTTTGTTCGGACTCCATTACACCCATGGTTCTGGTACGTAGATCCCGAAAAGCTCCGAGTCCGCAAGTGTTCTGGGACTCATTAATGGAGCGGCTTCTAGATTGCATCTGAATCCGTTCGAAGCCAAGTGCTTCGGATCTCTAGGTTCATGGATCCGAACCCTTTTGAGTCTGAGCCCGAGTAAGTCTCTAAGTTCGTGGATCCGAATCCTTTCGAGGCTTAGAGCGATTCAGCCCGTTTGATAGTGATAAAATTCAGGCCCACCAATCTTGGACTTGCGATAAATTCGGGCCCACCAACCTTCGACTATTGGGCCTAAATAATATAGTGGGCTCAAATTAGCTCCTCTTACATTATCACTGACTAGTTTTTAGTGTTTTTCAAAAAATAGGTTCTGAAAACTATACTTGTTCTGTTGTTATGATAAACACGGGAAATTGTGTTAAATTCTTCCATTTTGTAGGTGTTTAGATAGTTGCTGTGAAGAATTTTGGAAGTGAGTCAGTTGCCAAAATAGCACTGCCACAGAGGGTGCCATATGGTTTTCATGCTACTTTCATATCATTAATGCCCAATCAACCTTAGCAGCTGCGCTTTGTTTTGATGATTCACAAGCATCAATATTTGTCAAATATTGCCACCTGATCTTCAATCTTTGATCAAAGGAAAAGTAAAAGTGGTTATCCCATGTATGATGTTTCTTTCTTTCTTTTATTTTTTGTTATTTCTTTTATGTGGGCTGTATTGTTCCAAAATTGTGCAATCTCTGTCCTGTTCTGTGGTAGTATCTAAATGCTCTTGATAAACATAATCCATGTGCATTGTTGATATGGGTTTTTTGCCAAGATTGTGAGGGTATCTCAATTAGCCCCTTTTTTGAGAATTTGCAAATCTTGATTCCTGAGCTTGCTGGAATGTTTTTATTTTATTTTATTTTTTATTACCGTTATATTTCTCCTAGGTCCTTAATTTGATGTTTGTGATTGGTTTAGTGTTTGAAAGAATATGAAATGGTAGTCAAAATTGGTCATATGTTATAGCTAGCTAGCTAGCTTTGGAAAATATTTCACTTCACACCTAAAATTTACTTTTTTATTTGGTAAATTACATTTGCATCAAAATAAACACAAAAATATACTATGATTATAAAATTAGCGCAGTTTGTTTGGACTTGAATTAACAATTAGTTACCGGAATCTATTTCCTTCCTGCTTGATGGGTTTGGAAAAATGTTTCCTGGGAGATAGCTCTAGTTGTTTTTCAACTTGCTCTGTTATGGCCTTTTCCATGTTATAGCTTAAATATTTGAGACATAGACAGCCTGAGGTGTCCATTTGGACATGGAGACATAGCTTTAGTTGTTTTCCAACCTACCCATTTTTCATTATTATTATTATTGTTGTTGTCGTTGTCATTGTTGTTGGGTTTATATTATTATTAGTGTTTCTAATTAAGACATGCAAAGAGATTCAAATAATAATCATCCTCTAAACAAGACATTCAAATGGGTATGTCAATTAGACCTATAAAACTGTAAAATACAATTTGCAAACATATAGAAAGGCCATGAATCTCAAGAACAGAGTTTCAAGAAACAATGGTAAAATATCAATATGAAATGCAACATGGCCTTCAACGCCAAAACCTTGCCAATTAGGAATGAGAACATGTTGCGACACAGAAAGTCACAGAACATATATAAAGGTAGGTGTGGGCCCCACACCCGCATATCTATTTTGTGACTTTTTTCTATAATTTATTTGTCTGTAGCAACATGGTGTTGTGTGGAGAGTCTCTAGAAAATTTAACCACACTAAGGTTGATAATGGTAATGAATATTGACAACAAGAACTAGAATAATCACAAATCTTTTTTTGATCGACTAGAATAATCGCAATTCGATATAGAGAATAGAGAGAAAATCAAACAAGATACCAAGATTTACGTGGTTCAGAGTAAGCTTACGTCCATGGGCAATCCCACAACACAAGCAATAATTTTCACTATAATAAAGAACGAATACTCAGAGCTACCATGGGTTATCACTTAATCTCTCACCAAAACTTACTTTGTATTTCAACAACGAACTAATATGAGATATACAACTTATATTTATAGTGCGAGAGCCTTTGGAGGTCTTAGAGACCAATTTGAGGTGTTTACAATCAATAAACCAACTTATATATCACAAAATCGGTGTCTCCTGCTCGAGCCCAAACCATCTCACTTGAACGCGAACAAAATGAAACATTTTGGAGTAGCCCTGCTCTAGCGCGCTTTGAGCCCACTCGAGCATGCTTCTTTTTCCAGTTCCCAATGTGTCCTTTGTTGCATAAAAAGGCTTTTACTCTAATGTTTCCGAGACTTGTACTCAACATTGTTTAGTCTTGCAAACCTTGTTGACGTATGTAGAATGCTCAAGTCCAACTCCAATACAACTTTTGAACTGGACTCTGTGGTAAGAGTACCAAACAAAATTTGCTTTCTCACAGGACTTACCAATTTGGATCCATCTTTCAAGCAGTTTTTTTTTACCAAAACACTTGAATATGACTTTGCCAATTAATTATTAGGAAAAGACATCTAAAGAAGAAACAAGGAAATCAGACATGCATTACTAGCGTCTTCAGAGATATAAAAACCTGCCATCCATAGGAAGACCTTCAACAAGAACTTCATCTCATTGACAGTATTACACACAATCAAGATTTCCAAGATCATGGATGACAATAGGTGTGTTCACCTATCCATGAATCATTTACTATTGTTCATCGCAATTATTTTCTTGTTCTTCCATATTGAAGCCCAATACACGTCCACCAATCCCCATGTCCCCAAGGTACACGAATCGCGCGTTGCAACCATTTGTGGCATGCGCTCAATTATTTTCTCCATAACATTTCTCATAGTTGTCTATTCAAAGTTCTGCCACACAGCCATGCCCACACCTCACAGCAACCTTGGTGAACTTATGATCGGATCAAGGTCTAGATTTTCTGGGATTGATAAAGCAGTGATTGAATCACTCCCATTTTTCCGGTTTTCGTTTCTTAAGGGATCAAAACAAGGCCTAGAGTGTGTAGTCTGTTTATCAGAATTTGAGGATACCGAAGTTCTTCGGTTGTTGCCAAAGTGCAGGCATGCTTTTCACATGAATTGCATTGATAACTGGCTAGAAAGCCACTCTAGCTGTCCTCTTTGCCAGTACAAGTTTGATGAAGTGGAGCTCATGAATTGCACATATACAAATAGTCTTAGATACACCGGAAATCCTTCAAATCTATTAGAGGATCCAAATCTTGAGTTCTTTGTTCAAAGATCATCATCAAGATTCAACGTGGGAAGCAGTTTTCGAAAATTTGAAAAACCCAAGAAAGATCTTTTGGTTCAAGAAGGTGACATTCAAAAACTCTTCCATAAGTTCAAGCACAAGATCACTATTTCTGAAATTGTTTACAAGGGCAGTGGAGTGATCTCAACTCCTCAGACTTGACATTCTTGAATTCCGAGATGATTAGTATCATGTCCAGTGAGATATTCTATCCTTTGAATAATCTGACTAGTACTAGATTTAATCATGCGTTTTCCATGAATGAACATGTCATGAAGATTAAGGAGGACTTGGATATGAAGAGGTTGTATGAGTCTAAGTTTGGTAAGATGAATAATAGTAATTCATTTGCATTTTCAAGTTCAAGTTTTCCTTATACTTCTAACAGTGAAGGAAACCAAAATACAATTTCAAGACTATTGAGTCAAGGCGAGAAGACATCAATGTCGGAGATTACAAACCTTTCGAGGTTCAGAGAGTTCAGCGTAAGGAATAGGCGTGGGGAATCTGAGAGTTCAGAGAGAATGAGGGCGATTTGGCTGCCAATAGCGAGGCGAACAGTTCAATGGTTTGTAGGGAGAGAGAGAAGTTTAGAGGGATCAGAGAGTGAAAGACAACCATCATACATGTGTGAATTTGATGGAAATTTTTCCAATTTTTCTGAATGTTTTTTGTTGTTGAAGCTCTACAATTGATTGGTTATGCCTTTACAATTGCATGATTCAAGAAGTGTTTTTGAGATCACAGCCGTTACAGGAAATGATCTTCATATATATAAATTGTAGTGAAATGGCTTTGCCTTGCTACAAATTGTGGGTACAAGAGTCGAGCCTTGCCACGTGGTGTTGCCACGTGGTGTCGCCACAATGTAGCCATGACATTTCTTGGGTGGCTGCACCTCCATGACTTTGGCACCACGTGTCCACATTACATGACAACACATATGTGGCCCACTTTGTGTTGTGTCTCAGCACCTAGGTTCATCAAGCCAAGCCTAGTATACCACTCTCGGATTGCTCGCTTGTCCAATTCCAGAACCCAATCACCAAGACTAAAATGTTTTCCTCATGTTACTTAGGCTAGGAGCAGGGCCTGGTTACCCAACTCGGGACCACTAGCGGAAGCTAGAATTCAATGTTTCGTTTGGGCATTTGCTAAGCCCCCCTCTGGAGCGAAGCATGCTTGGACCAAGTTTAGAGAGATGGGGGGAGCTTGACCAAGACATGTGATACCTCAATTGTTATGGTGTGTATCCTTGCTCTTCTGGCATATGGAGCTCCTTACTATCACCCTCTCTATTTCATAAGGCTATCTTGGCCTTTTCCTCTCCCACTTCCGGTGTGTTTATCATCTTCTCAATAAGGACAACTTTCAGCCGGCTCCCCCACTACAACCCACAAAATTTTCCATCATATTGCCAAATGCAAAAGATGTCAAACTTATTCATCGTAGTCATTATCGGACTTTTGTTTTGTCTTTCAATGTTTGCACTCTCTTCAAAGTGTTTTGACTTGATAAAATACAAGGTCTGCACTAAAAGCTAAACATATGCGCTGATCAAAAAAAATAAAAATAAAAGCTAAACATATGCAGCCAAAAAAACCACCTTGTAAATGCTGGTTCTAGCAAGTTTTTTGAAAATGCTCCAAGCGGGAACCAAATGGTTCTAGTTCTGAGAATCTTACCCATCCATGGATTATACTTTTTATATTGTTACCAATGACATTGATACAGATGTACCGGCACATCATGAGCCCTGGCTGGACCTTAGGATGGACATGGGCTAAAAAAGAGGTGATATGGTCTATGGTGGGGGCTCAAACCACCGAGCAAGGTGACTGCTCCAAATTCAAAGTGAAAATAATTATAAAAAGAACCGAGTAGAAGAATTAATAATAGTAGAGCTGTAATTCAAATAACCAAACTTTAGACCACATGCGCCTTAAACATAACCCAACTTTAAGCATTTGTGCATCGTAATAGCCTTCTAGATTGTAATAAATACTTCATTTTGTTGTCATTTTTTTGGCTTGAATTTTGCTTTTAAGTCAGTGTTGTGCACTTCGGTTGACACTTCCAAGCAATGTTTTGAAAATTGGACCAGTGAGCGAACTAGAAAAGAGACTAGGTGGATGGGTTGCCGGTTCAACAGTCGGGTTAAAGCGGTCGAACCGTGACGTTATAATTAATATTATATAATTAAAAAATATAACTATAAATTATAAATAAATAAAAATATATATAAATACTCAAATAAAAATAAAAATTATTGCATAGTATTTATTAATAATATTTAATAAGGTCATAATTGATAAAAAAAAAAAGTCACTTGTTTTAAAGAAATTAAATTTTTTAAACATTCCCTCCAATCAAATTGATTGAATGCTAGATTTAATTTTGGAGGGAAAAGAAATTTTCAACTCTCCCTCCAATCAATATTTTTCAAATAATTTGATTGAATCTCACATAGAATTTTATAGGTTTTCTTTGAAATATCATTTCTTATGAATAAGAATAGACTTTCATAATCTTCTCAAGCTTCCAATGAGACTCTTGAAATAAGAAATTTTATTCAAAATTTTAATATATATATATATATATATATAAGAAAGAAAGAAAAGAATAAAAAAAAAGGTTAAAAATAAATAAAAAGTGGGCCAACCCTCAAGACCCGATCCGGGTCACCGGTTTTGCCGGTTCGACCGCTGGGTCTTTCGGCTTTTCATTTTCACACCGGTTTTGCTTTTACTCCAGTTTTAAGGAATAGACCGGACCAGAACAAGACCCGATTTTCGGTCTAGCTGGTCTGACCGACCGACCGATCCAGTCCGGATCTCAAAACATTGCTTCCAAGGTCCCGGTTTGGTCTAGGTGTACTAGTTCAAGCGTTATGCTAGTGCGACACACGGCTGTTGCTTCTTCCGCAAGGCAGCGTGTGAGGTGTACCAAATACAAACTCATTAAATATTACATAAATAATTGAGGCTACACATAACAACAAAAAATATCAATTTATTGAGTTTTTTTGGTGCTTAGCTTCGAGTAGAAAATTATTTAATAATTAATTGACCCAAGTCTTGATTATACTATTAATACTACTAGGTGTGCCAAACTTCAAAACTGATTTATATCGCTCAACAAATCTTTATATGCAATCTACCTTTGAACACGATCCCTTATCTTTTTGTTTTTTCTTTTTTGTTTTTTCCTTTCTTTGTCTTAAGTTGAATCAATAGACAAAGCAGAGTAAGGCAATTTATGAAATTTTGTTTATCATTTCTCGTGCCGCTTACTAATTTAATGGGTCTCACGATTTATGTCCCTTACAAATATAATGATAACATGTGATAAGCAAAATATAATAAAAAAGACAAATACTAACTAGTATTCCTAGGTCATTATTTAATGAAAAATGCCTTAGACCCCCAGCTGGGGGTGCTGGGGGGTCTTCTCCTATTGGCCCAAAAAATTGTTTTTTTTTTTTTTTTTTTGATTTTCGGCCATTACCAGCCCCCCACGTGGAGGTGGGGGTGCTGGGGGTGTCTCCTGCTGGGGGTCTCCAGCAGGACCGTTATTTAATATTAGGATTAGACTAAAAAAAGCCTTGAAAATTGGTGAAAAGGTTAAAAATAGTGATTTGATGCAACGCCCTCAAAATATTATATAATCCAAACATCTAACAGTTCTATGTACAAGGTAGATAAATCACATTTTCATGCATACATCAGAGTTAATATTACAAAGAGTATTTTATATAAGTTAAAAAGGTTTACAAAGATAATAGAATGCCCTGCGGGCTTAAATCTTTCAAAGTTGTTACTTGGTTACACAAAAGAAGAGTTCTAACTCTTTTACAAGTAAAGCCCTCAGCTTGCATTTACATGTAACTAACAAAACAAATAACAAAGCAGAGTCTTCAACTCCTAAACCTCCCAAGCAAAGATCTTGGAGGCGGCACGTCTCCTGTACCTGAAAATGGTGTCCCAAGTAGAATGGGCCAAAGCCCAGTAGAGATATGCTAAACCCAATATGAGAAATCACTAAAACATTAACATTTGACAAATGATTAACACTTGTAAACCAACTCACACCCTTCCCATAGCCCAACAACATTTACATCCATGTTTCAATCCATTTTTTTTTTTTTTTTTTTTTTTTTTTTTTTTTTTTTTTTCAATTCAATTCCTAAATACGGTTCATTATCTAACCAAACAATTTAAATGAGACTGCAACTCAGCTTATTAACACTTTCGTTATCCATAATTCAAAATGAGACTACAACTTATATAATTAACACTTCAATCATCACCAATTCATAATGAGACTACAACTCATGTTATTAACATTTCAATTGTCAACTTCATTCATGCACTTCAATTTATAAAGTTTTGGGACTTTCACCCCGAACACTCCGGCTAACTTAATTATCTATGGAGTCCATCCCCTATCTTCTCCCAAACAATGGAGTACATCCCCTATCTCCTCCCAAACGAAGATACATATACAATGTATTGAAGCATATAATCACACGTATGGAGTACATCCCCTATCTCCTCCCAAACAAAGATACATATACAATGTATTAAAGCATATAAGCACATATGGAGTACATTCCCTATCTCCTCCCAAACAAAGATACATATACAATGTATTAAAGCTTATAATCATATACGGAGTACATCCCCTATCTCCTTCTAAACAAAGATACATATACAATGTATATGCCATGATCAATTAAGGCACATATTCAATGTGTTATTCCAACTGTCATATTTAATGACATATTTCGATTGATTAGTTTCAATTTACCTAATCATCATGCAGTTCTACAACAATCAAGACTATCCTCCACCGATAACCCAAAACAGTTATTTCTAAATAGATAAATGAATTTACCAAACAGATAAATTATCACATTTTCCATAGGTGAGTGATTTATCAAACCGACTACACCAACTAGTCCTAGTTCTATCCAATTTCATGATACTCAAATCAGTTTCATATTCCTCACAATTACCAAATTAATTATACAAATTAATTATTTAAATTCAATTAGGGCATTTCCCCCCTCCTTTTCTCAACATTGATCCTAAGACCGAATCTCACCTATCAAACCCACAAAACCTCATTTTCATGACCTCACATACATATGGAGCTTAAAAACACAAACCCCTCTTTTATATACCAAAAATCTCAAACCCTAACTTCCCAAATCACCAAATCTCAACATCTATACAAAATGACTAATATTTATGTTAAAACTCATAAGAAGGAGTAGATTATCCCTACCTCGAAGTTAGGAGCTTAAAGGAGAAGAAGGATGAAACTCAAGATGCTCCAAATCAACACTTTTTTAGATCAAAACGTAGCCCACGCAAAGCTCAAGCTTTTTAACAAAGGGAGCAGGGTAGAGACACTCTAAACCAAATGTATTTGTAGAGAGAAGGAGAATGTAGAGAGAGAGGGAGTCGGATCTAGGGTTTGGATGAAAGAAATGATAAAAAAATTGATGTAAAACACGCTGCTGTAAACTGATATATTCGATCCTCGCTTGAGCGAAGGAGTGGTCGCTCGAGCGACCAGACACAAAAGAACCTCGCTCGAGAGCAAGAAGCGTCGCTCGAGCGAAAAATGCGAAGCTTCAGGGCTGCAAGCCAGAAGCACGCTCGAGCGCAATAGTTCTTGCTCGAGCGAAGAAACACAAAACATAGAGCTCGCTCGCTCGCTCGAGCGACAAAAACCTCGCTCGAGCGAAGAATACTAACCCTCAGGTCCAATCCATACGCAGACGCACGTTCGAGCACAAGAGTGCTTGCTCGAGCGCAAGAACCTTCGCTCAAGCACAGAAACAAAAACCCAAAGCTCGCTCGAGCGCAAAAAGCCTCGCTCGAGCGAAGATGCCAAATTCTGGACATCAACCATTTTCTCCAACACTCAACCAACCTATTCCAATCTTACCCAACACATCCCAAAACTCAAATACAAAGAATTAAAGAATGGAAACAAGAATAAGACAACAACAACAACTACTAGACTCGAGTCCGAAATACAATACGTAATGAGGAAAATCGGGATCGCTATAACCTCCCCCCCTTAAAGAATTTCGTTCCCGAAATTAAATATATAAGTTTCAAAATTGCGATCTTTTCAATTCTCAACATGATTACAATACAACCTTTATTAACAAGATCCACTACCGATCATTTCATCCCTTCTAAAGAGAGCAACCTTACAAATATAGCTCAATATGCATTATTAACATGCATTCTTTTGAATTTTACTAATTCCAACACACATACTCTACAATTCCATAACATATGCAACGTTAAAAATATACTTTTATTTCTACAACACATTTAACATATACAATGTTAAATTAAACTTATTTCTTTGAAACATATGTAGCAATTTTCAATACTTCCATAATCCGAAACATATACAATGTTCTTAAAGTTTATCATAAACAAAATTCTCAATATAGGC